ACACAGCTGCCATTGAACAGAGGTAGAACTTGATCCAGGGAGTCAAGCTCCAGCCTGTGTGCCCAGCCCACAACACTAAGCTGTCCCAAGCACTCTACAAAGATGGAAGTGTTCTGAAAACTCTGCATACCACTGCCCTCTCCCTACCAACCCTGGCCACAGCCTGGAAATTGATGGACTCTGCTCTGTGCTGTGCAGTAGAGGACCAGAGCCAAGCAGTGATGTACAGCCTCCTGCCAGGGGGAAGCCAGCCTAGCACCTAATCGGATCAGACCCCCCCTCCCAGGATTCCTCTACCTCCTCCTCTCAGCTCACTACCTCCCCAGCCCTGCCCTGCCTGAGGTTCTGTAGCTGCCCCAGTTGATTTTATAAATGACCCTTGCCGGAGATGGGCACCTTGGCTAATTGAATCAACGCCCAGGAGGCAAGAGGCAGTAGGCTGGTTAGCATCAAGGCCGAAAAGTAGTGGCAGCAGCAGCCTGAGGAGAGTCACCAGGGAGGGCTGAGTAAGCCAGATAGGCCCAAGCAATCGGGGCCTTTCTAGACGCTGAAAGTCCACGGTGGAACCTCCTGAGGGGCCCTGACATCATCTTCACTGTAAGCGTGGGGCAGGTTTACAAGAGAGAGAGAGAGAGAGAGAGAAAGAGAGAGATCATCACACTGAAGAAAGCAGGAACAAAGAGAAATGGGAGAGTCAGAAATAAAAGAATGGAAATGATGCAGCATTCGGCAGCTGTGAACTTAGGTACACACCTCCAAGCTGGGGACCTGAACTCCTATCTGCCCTGATGCCATAGCATGGTCCACAGCACACAATGACTTCTCAGTCAACTGCAAGTAGTATAGAAAGCCTGTAAGATTAAAGCAGATGAAACAATTCCTCCTGCCTGGTATGTTTACGGTTCCTCTTCTATCCTAGATGTTTATATACACAAATACCATTATGTTACCAATACATCCAGTATTTCACACATAACAAAGCTCTACATGTTTGCATCCTAGGTGAAACAGGCTATGCATATATATATATATATAAATATATATATATATAGATATAAATATAGTGATTATATAGAATATATATAAATTATATATTACATGGATATATGTGTATGTTATATTCTATATGACAAATAGTATAAGCTATATTTACACACATATATAAGCATATATGCATACATACCATGTACCCTAAGTATATAGTTAAATAGCATGTAGGTGTAAAAATTCAGTGGTACAAGATAACCTACTGAATCAACTAACCTGGGCTCCTAAGGGCCCACAGAGACTGACTCACCAGCCAGGGAGTCTGCATGGACTGATTTAGGCTCCAGACATATGCTACAGTTGTGTAGCTTAGTCTTCGAGTGGGACTCCTAACAGCAGAAGCAGAGGCTGTCTCTGACTTCATTGCCTGCCTCTGGAACCCTTTCCTCCTGCTGGGCTGCCTTGTCTAGCCTCAATAGAAGAGGATGTGCCTAGTCTTACTGCAACTTGATGTGCCAGGGGTGGTTGATGGGAGGTCCTGTTTTCTGAAGAGAACCGGAAGAGAAGTGAATAGGGTTTGGGGGGGAAGGACTGGGAGGAGAGGAGGGAGAGGAAACTGTGGTCAGAATGTAAAGTAAAGAAATAATTAATAAAAGAAAAGTCAGTGGTAACGATGTGTGGTGACAAATTTCTCAGAGCATGTCCATTCATTAGGCAACTTATGCCTTCAGTTAAAAGATTAAGCCAGTCTATAAGAGTCCTAGATACAATTAAGCTTTTCATAGTATCAACAGGTGCCAAGCAGCTTGCCTAGAGCCCAGAGACCCTCTCTGAGTGGGATGGTCATTGTAAATCCTTTGCTCTGCCCCACAATGGCAAGTCTGTTTCCTTCCTTACCTAAGACCTTTCCCCTGGCTGCCCTAGATGGCTCAGCGGCTCTTGAAGGAGGCCTTGCCTCAGTGTGCCTGTCTGAGGTGCTCCCAGGCTGCTTCTCTCACTGATCCATCAGTGGCCACCACTGCTGCTCCCCACTTCTAGCTCCTTTGAGTTGGGGTTGGGGCTGGAGCTGGGGAACCTTCCGGAATCTCAGCTTCTGAGTGAGGGGTGACACACAAGTGGGAGTTGCTCTGTAGTATTACTGAGTGAATGATGCTCACATCATGGTGACACAGACGCAGCTAAAGCTAGCTAAGAGCTCAGAGCTAGCACTCAGAGCTCCCCGCAGAGTGTGCCACACCCACTGGCTCATTTCCTCTGAGGGCACTGAAATCCTAGTCAGCATTTCCTCAGCAGACCCTCTAAGGACTTTCATTGCCCCTCCCAGCTTCCCCAAATGCTCTACTTCCGCAGCTACCAACCCCTCACCCCACTTTTCCCCAGTTAAGCTGTCTACCACTTCCCCTGGTGAGATCACGTGATCTCAGAGTAGAGCAACCAGAAAGTTCTGTCTCTTGAAGGTGAAGGGCACTAAGAGGGATCGGCTCAGGATCTCATATTTTGAAAGCGCGTCCACACTTCCAGAGGAGAATCTCAAGGGTCTGAAGGGACCTGGTCTAAAGTGCAAACTCCTGAAGCTGTCCCACCCCCACCCCCATATCCTTCAGGTAGAAATTCGTCCCCCAGGACCAGGCACCCACCGCGCCTCACATGCTTAAGCCCTAGTTGCAGTTTCCACAGTCTGACACTGCCCCCTGCTGGGTACCTTCGGGATGAGCACGCCAAGTGCCACGTGAGGAAATTAGTAATGTGGCCTCCTTTGCTTTGAGACACAAAGCATCTACCTAACTCCCTCCTCAATGCTCTTCCCCCACATCCTGAGGAGACTGGGATCCTTGGAGAATTGGACCCGCAAATTGAATGCAAACCTTTGCACAGACAAAAGGGGCAGAGAACCTTTTACCTGCTCCAGCTTACTTACTCTGCTAATAACTGACAAAAGCTACCATAAGACAAAACCTAGGAGGCCACACATCCGGGGCCTTGAAGGCATCAATCTGTGTGTCTGTTGCTCATTGCTCTCTTAGACGCTAGAACCTCGTCTAGTGCTAGAACTTCACTGTGGCTGGACACAATGTTGCCATCTGTTTGTCTGGTTGTTTTTTGTTTGTTTGTTTGCTTTTTTGTTTGTTTTTTAGTTTTTCGAGACAGGGTTCCGGTATGTAGCCTTGACTGCCCTGGAACTCTGTTCTGTAGAACAGGCTGGTCTCGAACTCAGAGATATGCCTGCCTCCGGAGTGCTGGGATTAAAGACACACCCCCTGGCTACTGTAGCCATCTTAACCTCAGTATGTGAGGATCCAAGCTCACTACCTGAAACTTAAGTGTCTCCCTGAAAACCTCCCTTCTCCATCACCCAAGCTCCATAGGAGCTAACTCTGTTACACCTTTCGAATCCCAGGAACCCTTTCAGTGGTGGGTCTAAGCTATACCCTTCACACCCAGGTCAAGGTTCCCAGAGCTGCTGTCCTAAAAATGTATTCCTGTGGCATTCCTTATCCAAAAGCCTCAAACCTCCCTTCCTTCTCCCACTAACTACAAGCTTCCCACAACATACTCCGCATCCGCTGCTGCAGACACCATCTCTCCTCCTACAGCAGGTTTCTATGTTGATAAGACCTCCCAATGTTCATGTGTTCTTAAGTCAAAGTTGTATGTGACACACCAGACCTAACCTACCAAGAGATTGGAGCCCATGGCCAATGCCCAACACTGAGGAAAAGGAGCCTATTCGTAGAGATCAGCAGGGGAGAGATCAAAGTTCAGTGGTCAAAATGTGATTTCTACCAGATGATGTTTCCTGCTATCACTAAGTAACATTCCAACCGAACAGGGATGGATCAGGGCTTCCCTCCACTGAGTCTCCAACTGCTTCCTGACTCTGTAACTTCATTATTGTTCCTCCCTTCCAAGATATTCATTCTCTCTCTCTCTCTCTCTCTCTCTCTCTCTCTCTCTCTCTCTCTCACCCCTTAAGTACCATCAAACTCCTTCCCACCCTGAAAGGCCCACCTCAAACATCATCTTTTGCTATGAAACGTTTCTTGGGCAGTCACTGCTTCTGAAGCACCTGGCCTTGGGCTGCCTCTCGTAGCACTTCTCAAGGACAAACATCTGTGCCTTGTCTCTCTCAGCTTTGCACACATAGGGTTAGAGGGGCTCAAGTCCTAGGAAAGGCTGGCCAGGGCCACACAACAGGTAAGTCTTATTTCTCATTCGTAAAAGATACAATAAGTCATTCAGACCTTGGGGCTCATGAGATGGTTCAGCAAGGGAAGACCACCAAGACTGGCGAGCTGAGTTCCATCCTGGAACCCACATGGCAGAAGGAGAGAACTGACTCCTGCATGTCGTCCTTCATCCTCCATGTGGGAACTGTGGCCCAAGCCCTGCCTGCCCATACACAAGAAAGAAAGAAAGAAAGAAAGAAAGAAAGAAAGAAAGAAAGAAAGAAAAGAAAAGGAAAATATGCTAAATGTTAATGAGTCCTCGAAATCCAGATTGTCCATCAACCCTTCACACACATCCACTGCGATGTTTCTGTCCTAGCAAAAAGTAAAAAAGTAGATGTTCGAAGGTTTTTCTTGCTTTGAATGGACATTGCATATGTTCAAAACAAAATCTCCAAAGTTATATGCTCATGGATTTGGAGGCAGGGCCTTTGGGATTGGACGATGAGGGTGCTGCTTTTATAGATGAATGAAGTCATTCGAGGACCAGCGCATGATCCAGGGAACAGCTTTGCTGTCTCTTCATGTTTGTGGACTCCCCAGCCTGAAGATCCATGAGCTGGAAATAAAATCTTTTTTCTTCATAAACTACCTAGCCTGTGCCATTCAGTTATAGCAACAACAACAACAAAAACATTAAGATAAACATTTCTAGGATCCCAGACCTTTTGGGGCCTCATGCTGAGGACCTGGCATAGGCCCAGGGAAGACTCCCAGCCAGGGGAAGGAGCCTTCAGCAGGTCAGCCCCAACATTCTTCCCACCTCACAACATTCAAGACACAAAGTTGTTCCAAATTAGTTTAATGTCTAGAAAACTGTGGGAGCTAGAGGGACAACAGTCACTCTCATTGCTAACCAGAAGCCAGGGTTGTCCCAGGAACACAACATCTATAGGCAGGAGGCCTGCACAGGCCAAGGAGCCAGGACATCTGTGGAAATCCTTTTGTCTCTTAAGAGAAATGGCCCCAGTTCCCTTTAGACAGACCCAAGGCAGTGGGAGGAAGTGGAAAAGTGTAGGAGGAGGGTGGGTCCCTCCAGGGCCCTCTTCCTGCTCCAGGCTAGTGACTCACACAGTACACAGAGAAGGCACACCAAGCCTGGGGCCCAGGAAGGGGCAGTAGCCAAAAGGACTCTACCAGTAGCCTCCATGTCCCCTCCACAGCTTCCAAAGATCTCTGTGGGAACCATATCCCATCTCCTGGCAACACCCTCACTTTGGGCCTTTTTTAAGTATGACATTGTCATACTCGGTTACCTGTGGCCAACCAGGCACAGAGGACTCTTGCTGGAGAGAGTTAGAAACCCCATCAGTAGTGGCCTGCTCCCTCCATGTCTCCCCTGAGGGCTTCTGTGATCTCTCATAGAGAGATAAGGCAGCCACACCCTCAGGCTCATCATATATATGGTCAGGTAGAGGGGCCACAGGATCCTCCTGAATGCTGTCATATAGTGGGTCAGGAAAGAGTGGAGGAGGACCCGTCAGGATGCCCCTGAAGCTCTTGCTCAGGGAGTGAGCCACTGTATCAAAGGGCACGGCATATTCCCCCTCAGGGCCCCCTGGCCTTATGCCAGGCACCAGTGTGCCAGGGGATGGAGAAGGCAGAGAGTCGTGGGGCCGGGAATAGGGGCTTTCAGGTCGAGGCAGCACAGTAGGCATCACGGACCCTGTGGCTGGCAGGGGTGGAGGCCCAGAAGGGGTGACATTCTTCTGGGCAGCAATGGCCTTTTCTAGAGCTTGGAAGATCTCATTGCCTTGTCGTGTTTCAAACTCAAAGCTGCCCTCTCCAGAGACACAGCGTCTGCCAGCCTCAAAGGAAAAAGTCACCTACAGTGAGGGGAAAGATGTTAGAGAGCTCTTCTCTCCTGGACCTCCACCCACATGTAGGAGTTCTGGCCCTGGCATCAGCAACTGCTCTTCGAGTTCTTGTCCCTCTGCCCCTGTAGTTTGTTTGTTAGAGTTGGCTGTTTATTTGGGGAAGGGCTCTCACTCACTATGTAGCCCTGGCAGGGCCTTCAACTCTGGTGTCTCCTGCCTCAGCCTCCTCAGTGCTGACATTACAAGCTGTGTGCTGCCACACCTGGCAAGAAGACTCTCCTCTCCCTCCCTTCCACGCATGAACTGACTGAAGCTCAAGAAATGTCAACAGCTCTTCAGTGCCCCCCCCAACCCTTCTCCACGTCATCTCTCCTCACCTAGACCTCCTTGGCTTTCACTCTGTGCCCTCCACATCCTCCCACCTCGGCTGTCTCACTGGATGGTCTTCCTCCTCCCTCCACGCTCTCTTTATTGATTCTCTGCCCCTCCCTAGTTGTTCCTCTCAGGTCTTTGGTCTCATACTGCTCCATTCAGCCCTTCACTCACCTTGTCACGCCCAAAGCGTCGAAGAAACCTGTAGGGCCAGTCATACAGCTGTGTGCCTGGCTCAGGGCCACCCCACAGCTCCAGGGCACTCACCCCGGTCCGGAGAGTATAGGACCCTCGGAGCCGGCAGCGTTCACTGGCTTCTGTGGGTCTTACGGTCACCGCATATTCCTTGCAGACCCCTGGGGAGGAGAAGAAAAAGAGGCAGCCTCAGGAAACAGTGGGCTCCTTCCACACCAACCCATCCTTAGTAAGCATGTCAGAAATTCTCAAGAAAAACCTGTTCGTGTTACCTGTGATCCCACCACAGATCTTAAAGCCTAGGCTGCTGACCCTACCTTTTCCCCTGGAAGGCATCCTTCATGCCCTCGGTGACACCACCCCAACGCTGGGCCCACATCCTTCCTGCCACTGGTGCCAGAGCCAAAGCTTGGTTTTCTCTATATCATCTCTCCCCAAGTCCCTAATGTTAGGCTACAGGTGAAGCCTGACCCTAAGACCCTCCTATAGCCAGTGCCCCTTCCTGTGGGTGGAGCCTGACCCTAAGACCCTCCTATAGCCAGTGCCCCTTCCCGTGGGTGGAGCCTGACCCTAAGACCCTCCTATAGTCAGTGCCCTTTCCCGTGGGTGGAGCCTGACCCTAAGACCCTCCTATAGCCAGTGCCCCTTCCCGTGGGTGGAGCCTGACCCTAAGACCCTCCTATAGCCAGTGCCCTTTCCCGTGGGTGGAGCCTGACCCTAAGACCCTCTTATAGCCAGTGCCCCTTCCCGTGGGTGGAGCTTAAGCGTTTCTCTCCTCTGTCTCCATGAGGAGCCTAGAAAGCACAAAGAAAGGAAGAACTGGCCGGGCAGTGGTGGCGCACGCCTTTAGTCCCAGCACTTGGGAGGCAGAGGCAGGGCACTTGGGAGGCAGAGGCAGGCGGATTTCTGAGTTTGAGGCCAGTCTGGTCTACAGAGTGAGTTCCAGGACAGCCAGGGCTGCACAGAGAAACCCTGTCTCGAAAAAACCAAAAAAAAAAGAAAGAAAAGCAAGCAAGTCCCCTATCAGCACTGCATTTCCCCATTCACGAGGCGCCCTGCACAGCCAAACAGACACAAAGCAATTCTCTCTTCACACAATCACTTTAGGACCCACAAAGAGAAAGTCAAGACCAAGACCCTCAGCCTCAGGCAGGACGGCCTGAGCCAAGGGTGACAATGTGGCAGGCTGAGTTCCAACAACCTTGAGCCACACCAAGAAGCCAGGAAGAGAAGCTGATAAGCTGGGCCCAGGGTAACCACAAGGCAGGAAGACTTGACCTTGCAGCCAGCCCATGCCTCCTCCCTCCTACACCCATAGTGTCCCTCAGCCTCAACTCTCACCTGTGGTGGAGCTGCTATACAACTCATTCTCCTCCATGCAGGGACTGCCATTCTTTTCCTTCAGGCCTGGCGACTCTTTCCTCTGCCCCTGAGGAGGCGAGTCCCAGATCTTAGCACCAGAACTCACCCCAAGGCCTTCCTCCTACCCACACTTTCAGCGCATACCCAGACTGCTGGTTCTGGGTGCACTTCAAACTGGGTTCCCTTAAGGAAGAACTCCCCTAAAAAAAGAGTTTTGTTTCTTCTACACCTGCCCACAGGAAGTATCTAACATTACCCTCCCCTTGGGTGTCTATGGTCTGCTTTTTACCCCTCACCGGGAAAGCCAACAGGCAGATGGCCTGTATCCAGTCACTGCGCTCTGCCGACGGGGCTGCCAGCAAGTACAGACGCTCCTTGGTCTCCAGGATGAAGGCACTGGTGTCCCGGGGACTGCTGGCCTCACTGCCTATCTCCGCTACGCGTAAGCAGTCACTGAGGCGGACAACTTTCCGAGTGGCCTCTCCACGCCGTGTCTTCTCGGGGCCATCCTGGAGCTCTAGTCTGGCTAGGGCACAGCCAGACTCTCCATATAACACAGCTGCGAACCGGCGCCACTTCTGAGCCCAGGTATGGCAGGTCGAGGCCAAGTGGGAACCATCAGAGATGGGGAGAGATGGTCATGAAAGGAGAGAAGAGGAACTGTGGGAGAGGTAGTGGGGCAGGTGCAGCAACACAGGATGGGGAGAAAGGTAAACATCACAGACCAGCCAGAGAAGCCAAGAAGACAACAGAGACCATGGAATGACTGAGGTGGCGACTAGCCAAGAGACCAAGATCTGCAGGCTAGGCAGTAAATGTCCTATGGATGCAGAGTCCAGGAAGATGACAGGCCCATCTGCCGGGTGGTGAGGACAAAAGTCACTGAGCCCATAGAGCAACAGTGAGGAGAGGGTAGCCTAGACCAAGGACAAGTCTTCATTTCATAGACAAGCTCTGGCTCCATAGATTCCCAACTCCTTTCCTGATTTGTATTAATGAGTTGAACCATGAGAGACAGAGACCTAGACAGGGTGAGGTGGGGTTGTGGCTAAGCACAACTGGGTGACAGCAGGAGGCAGAGGAGCCTCTCCTTCAAAGAAGCTAGGGAAGGAAGAGGTTGGAACACCCTGGGGCCACAGCTTAACAGCAGTCAAAAGTGAGAGGAACCTCAGCTGTCATCCCAAACTGGCCCCCCAACTCTTCCTTCCAAACACTCCCAAGTTACCCCAAATTCAATACTGAAAAAAGAGAGAGAGATGATGTCAGCTTCTGCTTCCTTCCCCACCCCACACTAGAGGACAAACAGCTCTCAGCAAAGAGAGCGATTTGGGGCCTGGTTCAGGAGGCAAGGAACCTTGAAAAGGCAGACATCTTCCCCAAGTAGTGTTCTGGTGTAAACTGGTGGAGCACTGGGTCTGAGAAGGGTCAGGGACATTAAGACACCCCTCTACCCTAGTAACAAAGCCCTCCCCCAAGCTGCTCCGCCCAGTGAGAGCCCAGCCTCACTCTTACCTTGCCAAAGGTCTGCTGCTGTTGAAGATGCAGGAAGCCCTGCTTCACGGCCATCTCCTCCATCCTGACCATCGCAGCTTCAGCTCACCACAGCATTGCCTCTGCCCTCTCTCCTCTCTCTTCTGGGCCTGTTCCTCCTTCTCTCTAGTTCATTTCCTCTCTGCCTAGAGTTTGTCTACACTATTCTAGTCTGCTTGATGACGACAGGCTGATAGGCCCTGTGGTTTCTAGCTCTGTGTGTGCCTCTTTCTTTTTTTTTTTTTTTTTTTTTGAGTGCACTTCATGCTCAAGCTTCCTTCCTGCATTTCCAGTGAGTAACATGCAATTTCCAAAAAAAGCCAAATTTCACACTTCTGCTGAAGCTGGTGTGAAGGACTGAGCCATAAGAACAAAGAAACCCCAAAATCAAGTTGTTTAAGAAAACCAGCAGCCAGGGCTCTACCTTCAGGCAGCACGCTGAGTGTGTCAGGGATGGAAGAGCCCTCGGGAATCAATCACCATAGCCTACTCATTGAAAAGAGAAAACTGAAGGCAGAGATGGTCTGAAGGGATTATAAGGCTACTAGCCCAGAAGTTTCCCAACTTCCGCAAAGCTGAGCCATAGACCTGGTAATGTACTGATAGATAAAACATGCATGTACACACACAGGTACACACACACACAGGTGCACCAGTCCTATTGTATGAAAGTATTTCCTGCCTGCCAACAGCACATACAATATACAACCCTGTGGAGAATCTAGAAATAAGAAGATTCTCTCTAGAAAAAGATTTACTCCGCAAGTACATCTCAGCTATTAGCTTCCTTCCTCACAAGTGTTCCACAGCCACTTGGGTTTCAAGTGGAACTTACCTTAAACCATGGGAGCTTCAGAACTCCCAGTTCTTCTATACTTGCTGAGCCTGGTGTGGCCCTGGTGGAGACAGAATAACTTGACAAGGCTCCTGCCCCTGGGACAGGGCGTGGTGTGAGCCTCCACAAGTGTCCTTGGCTGCTGTGGGCGTGAGGCTTGTTTGTATAATAATGCATATATTTTCACATTACTCGGAAGAATGTCCACTCTATCAGTGTTAATGACTCCCTGATAATCTGAGACATAAGTCCAGGAGGAGAAGTTGTGGCTGATGTTACAGAAAAATGGTAAATGCTGGGACCTGCAGGACAGCCTTTAAGGCTGTGAGAAAGAACTCTAAATACATGAGTTCAAAATATATATAATTTCTCAGCTATGTAAAATATAAGGATGCAATATGAATTATGAGGGGCTTCATTAATCTAAAGGAACAAAGGCAGCTACACTATGAGTCAGCTAATCAGAAAGATACAAAGGTGTGGGGAAAATTTAAAAAAGGCCGCCACAGCGGCGCAAGCCCCGGAGGGGCTTCCGCCGCAGTGGCGGGTCCCACATTAGGGAAGAAGTCCTATGGTTCCAGCAGCCTGAGGGCCTTGGCGGCGGCAGGCCCCAGTAACATGAGGAAGTCCTTGGTTCCAAAAAGGTTTATTGTCATGGCAGAGGATAGATGGATCTAGGCATACCCCCCAAAACTCAGAGCAGTCCCGAGTTATATAGGGAGGGAGAAAGGGGGAGGATTGGGGGAGGATCTGGGGGAGGAATGTTTAATTTGCTCTGCCCTCTGGCCTTCATTAGTATGTAAATCTCTAGGCCCTGAGGCCTATAGCCTGGCCTATGTGACTCTATGGAGATCTATGTGACTGCTTTTCAGGTTCCTGGATGATGGGAGGGACCGAACTCCTGCGGGTTCTCACACAGAATTCCACGGAGAATCTCGGGGTTCTAGGTACCTGCTCAACCATGACCCAGGATACCCTTATGCAATCCCACACAAAGGCAGGCAGATTCCTGAGTTCAAGGTCAGCCTAGGACACAGGGAAGTTAGGCCCAGGTGTGGTCAGGGCAGTGTTCCACCTAACTAGTTTAATTGTTTGTTCTTAACAAAGGCAGACAGATCTCTGAATTCTTTTGCAGGAAATGTGTGCTTGCTGTCTCCTGAGAATCAAAGGGCTGGGGTCAGAGGATGCTGATTCCTAAGATAATCAAAAGGAAACCTGGAGTCAATAATATCAACTTACATAAACTCTGAAGATCTGAACTCAAGTCCTCCGGGCTTGTATCACAAGCCTTTAGCCATGGACTCATCTTCCCAGATCTGTAATACAACTTCTCTCAGGGCCTAATCAGAATGCAGATGCCATGCAGAAAGTGTTAGTAATCTGTTAAACTCCACCTCCACAGTCACCTGGCAGTGGCCAGGTATGCTCTGCCCCACAGTTACCTGGCAACAGGCAGGTAACCCTGCCCACTATAAAAGGGGCTGCTTGGCCCCTCCTCTCTCTCTTGCTCCTCTACCCCACTCCCCTGCAGGTTGTCGTCTCCCTTTCCCCCTTCCCTTCCCCCTCTCTCCGCGTGGTCATGGCCGGCCTCTACCCTCTCTACTCTTCTCTTTCTCCTGCTCTCCCACTCTCTTAATAAACCTCCCCTCATGGAACCATCTTGGCCTGCTGTGATCTGTTACAAGCTGTGCGTGACCTTTCATTTGGTGCCGAAACCCGGATAGGAAGACTTCAGGGACCTCAGCTGCTGTGGCCGGACAGGACAGACACCACGCGGTAACTGCCCACAAGGTCCCAAAAAAGATTTCTTGAGCTAGACCAAACCCTGTCCTTCCCTGAACCTCTCTAGGATGGCTCCCCTTGGATGAGACACTTCCCCTCTCCCTCTCATTCGTGGCTGAGTACCCCAAGCCAGGCCTGGACAGACTCTTTGCCTCAGGAGCACCGGCTCCAAATATAGTCCCCAAACATGTCTCTTCCACGGGTGAGCCTTTACTGTTTTCTCCCAGGATCACTGGCTCTGCCCCATTGTGTCTCTTCCAAGGGCCAGTCTTTTGCGCCCTTTTCCCCTTCCCACTCCTTCGTCATTTGCGGGTCGACTGGAACCTCAGTTCCAGCACCTTGCCTGGAAAGCTAGCGGGTCCAGGGCCCAGCTAGCTCCCCTTGCCTCCTCTGTGATCGGTCAGCTGATTCGCCTGCTCCCTTCTCTCCATGGTTCTTAGCTCTGCTCTGGGTTTTCCCCTTACATTCTGCTGCCTGGGACCTGTAAACGTTGGGGTTATATGGGACATACTTGCTTTTCTTTACTCACTGCTGCCAGAGACATTGGGCAGCGGCTTCCTCATGCTAACAGGAAGTCCCGCCCTGTCACTGCCACCCACAGCACCTGTGGCTCACAACTCCAGCCCGCCAGCTGTACCGTATGCCGCCAGCTGTACCGTATGCCGCTATTACCAGCTTTCTTATTCTTGTCTTAACCAAAATGCTTCTTTGCTAATACAAAAATGTGCTTTTCTCTTCCTATGCAACCCGCCAAAGTTACTTAAGACTCTTTCCTAACCTGTTTTGATGGATTTTTATTCAGTTACAACCAATCCTTATGGCTTTCAATCTTGTCAGAAGTCTGCTAATTATATATTTTAAGTTTATGGCCGACAGAATGCCCAAAGCCTCTAACAGTTAGCCCAAGATGGTTTCAGAAGACGTGGACGCCAGACTCCTAGAACATACAGCCTGGATTGTATGTGGACAAACGCAACAGGACGCCCTGAGTCAAATGACTTGGCTAAATAAAGGTAAGTCATTTCTCATATCATGCATACCCATTCCACAGAAAAAAGCCCTGCGGCTTCTGCACTTAAAAGCCAAACTGACTTCACCCAAGAGACTATGGAAACCACGAGAACTGTTGGCTAGTAGACTCTGTCATTTTTTTTTTAAAAAAAATAATATATAACTAGTAGATTGTTGTTTACTCTTTACCAGACTTCTGACTACATTGACAGCTAAGTTTTCAAAGATATTATCTGTTACCTCATTACCTAAACTCAGTTGAAAGACTACTTGTGTTGTTAACTCATGCTGTTATCTCCTTTGTAAACTTATAAGCTACAGGAAACCCACTCAGATCTACCTCTCATGGATGCCATCCAGGTAAGTACATCTGCCTAAAATTCTCACTCACTACCTATAACAAAGGGTGGGATCCCTCTGGGTTTCAAATGTACATCTTAGAAAAAATCTTTCTCCAAGTGTTCTTAATCTTATTTCCTACATCTTGTCAAGTCCAGGTGCATCCAATACAGCTCCAGAGAAGCAACCTTCAGATGCTCCATCTCCTGCCACACATACAACTGCTTCTACTGGACCTGACCCTGGACATCAGGAAACAGCCAGTTCTCCTAAGACCGGACAAACATCTCCCATTCTTCTAGGTTCCCCCTAGAGACACGTCGCCCCCAATGCCAGCAGGAAGTAGCCAGATTTCACAACGACCCTATTCCTGCTTCGCTATCACCTCTTTCTAATTTTTCTTTTTAATTAAACCAAAACGTGGGAATGTTAGTAATCTGTTAAACTCCACCTCCACAGTCACCTGGCAGTGGCCAGGTATGCTCTGCCCCACAGTTACCTGGCAACAGGCAGGTAACCCTGCCCACTATAAAAGGGGCTGCTTGGCCCCTCCTCTCTCTCTTGCTCCTCGACCCCACGCCCCTGCAGGTTGTCATCTCCCTTCCCCCCTTCCCTTCCCCCTCTCTCCACGTGGTCATGGCCGGCCTCTACCCTCTCTACTCTTCTCTCCTGTTCTCCCACTCTCTTAATAAACCTCCCCTCGTGGAACCATCTTGGCCTGCTGTGATGTGTACAAGCTGTGTGTGGAAATCCTTTTAGAAAGAGACTCTCTTTTGGGGACAGCCATGTTCCATGGATAAATTCACCTTAGAACCAGATGGCTTGAAGAAACAGTCTAGAATAGTTGGGGGAAACTGAGGACCAGACCATACTCCTGGGAGAAATCCTATGTAGGGTGTTTATAAAGCTAAGCCCATTTCTTCTCCTGAGTGTTAGATTTTTGCCTGTAGCTTAGACAGATACTGCCAGACCAAATGGTTCCATGAGGAGGGGTTTATTTAGGGTGGAGGGCAAAGGTGGGGAGAGAAATGGTAGGAATGGCAGAGAGAAGAGAGAATGGAGGCCGGCCATGACCACGTGGAGAGAGGGGGAAGGGAAGAGGGAGGGGGCAGAGGAGAACCTGAAGGCGCGGGATCCAGGAAGCAAGAGAGGAGGGAGCAAGCAGCCCCTTTTATAGTGGGCAGATCTATCTGGCTGTTGCCAGGTAAGTGTGAGGAGGAGCATGCCTGGTTGTTGCCAGGTAACAG